CTGGCTGTAACCAGAGGGAGCACAAGGTTGGGGGTGGGGGAGGGGAAGAGGGAGGGAGATGTGTTACAGTATGGAGAAGAGCTTTTTGCTTCCCGAAAGGGGAGGGGAGGAGAGGGGAGAGGGAGGAGGATCAGGTTACAGCAGGGAGGAGATGAAAAGAGGAAAGAGGAGGAGAGAGGGAAGGAGATTGTGTCCTGGCCAGCTGTTAAGCCTTGCAGCTGTACCGTACCTCCTGATTTTCCGGCAAATCTGATAATCCGGCACCACCTAGGTCCAAAAGGTGCCGGATTATCGGAAGTCTACTGTGCAAATATATTAGAAACAAGAGGAAGACCCAGAGCAGGGTAGGCTCATTGCTCAGTGAAGAGGGAGAACAATAACTGAAAACGTGGAAAGGCCGAGGTGCTAAATGACTTCTTTGTTTTGGTTTTCACCAAGAAGGTTGGTGGTGACTGGATAACTAATATAGTGAATGCTAGTGGAAAATAGCGTAGGTTCAAAAATTAAAAAATAGGAAAAGAACAAGTTAAAAATTACTTAGAAAAGTTAGATATCTTCAAGTCACCAGGGCCTGATGAAATGCATCCCAGAATACTCAAGGAACTGATAGAGGCGGTATCTGAGCCATTAGCTGTAATATTTGAAAAGTCATGGAATTGGGGGGAGATTTGAGAAGACTGGAAAAGAGCAAATAGAATGCCCATTTATAAAAAGGAAAATGACAACCCATGAAACTACAGACCAGTCAGCTTAACTATAGTTCTAGGAAAGATAATGGAACAAATAAATAAGGTGTTCATCTGCAAACATCTGGAAGATAATAAGGTGATAGGTAACAGTCAGCATGGATTTGTAAAGAACATATCATGTCAAAACTATCTGATAGCTTTCTTTGACAAGATAACAAGCCTTGTGGATAGAGGAGGCGGTGGACGTGGCATACCTGGATTTCAGTAAAGCATTTGATACGGTCTCACGTGACTTTCTTATCAATAAACTAGGGAATTACAACCTAGTTGGGGATACTGTAAGGTGGGTGCATAAGTGGTTGGATAACCATTCTCAGAGACTAGTTATTACAGTTCACAGTAATGTTGGAAGGGCACAACAGGTGAGGTTCTGCAGGGGTCAGCTCTGGGACAGATTCTGTTCAATATCTTCATCAATGAGTTTGATAATGACATAGACAGTACACTTATAAGTTTTGCAGATGATACGAAGCTGGAAGTGCTTTGGAAGATAGGGTCATAATTCAAAATCATCTGGACAAACTGGAGAAATGTTCTGAAGTACCATAAATTAGTGAATATAACCTGCACACGTGTATTACCCTCACCCGTACATTAGCCAAGGTTTTTCCTGATTGCATAAAAAAAGTCTTAGATAACCCGTGCATGTGTATAGTCCATGGGAGATGAACTGCGGGTACTGTTAATGAACGATAATGAGGATAATTAACTCAGGCGTCAGGGTCTGAGCCTGTCGTGCAGAAGCATTTGAGCTCCAGATACATCATTGTCGCAACCCGACAGGGCAGGCTGGCTGTCGCGGGAGGCTGCATGGGAAGGGAAGGTGACTGGGCTTACCCCTCACACCATCTCCAACCCTCCCCAGCTGCCTTCTGCCAGTGCTGTGCACTCCCCTGGGGGTGAGCTGTCTGCCCCAGGGTGCCAGAGCCAGGAGCTGAGCAAAGGACCTGTGTCCTTGAACAGAGCACTCCCCCTCTCACAGAGAGCCACAGAGGGAAGACACAACAGAGGGAAGAAGGTTGCAGGGTATTCCCATAGGACTTGGAGTGCTGGGCACAGGGGATGGAGGTCTCACAGCTGATTACCTCTTCCCTGACTTCTCATTCCCCGCTGCTCTGCCTGTTTGGTCCCTTCCTGTGACAGCGGCTCAGGCTATGACAGTGATTCTGATTCGGCACCTCAACAGTCACTGAAGTAAAAAAAAATTTGTACAACACACGGATGAGTATAGCCCATGGGGGGGGGCAAGGGTGGTGTTATATATGCTAAAACATGGTAAATAGTGTTACCTACTAGCTCTGTGTTCTTGGGGAACCAGGGCATGGCCACCTGTCACTCCTGTGCTCTTGGGAAGCCAGGGAGTGACACTCATGGAAAACCATCCCCCTCCCCCAGGCTTCTGCTAGAATCAAAGATAAAGCAATGAAAAGGCAGGAGAAGACCCACCTAAACTCCTTCAGACAAGGGTGATAGAATTAAGGAAACACCCCAGCCTCATCTGCATTGAAGATACAACAAAGAGACATCTCCATTAGCATACAGAATGGAGATGAGCTCTTCCAAAGCAGGAACTGCACTGAGCTATGGGATACCTACAGCAGAGAAGCACTGCTTGATGGGAAATCTCTGCTCCAGATGCTAATGAACCCAGGCCAGCTCACACCCAAATTAATCATTATCAGACCAATTCTAGAAATAAATCCTATTGATATCCAAAATACTGAAACTGCCTAGTTGCATTGTGAACTTCTTCAAGGAACATCACCCATAACCAGGTGTGATCAGTCTCTATTGTCTCGCCTCTGTTTACTCATAAACAAAGCCAGTGTTCTCTTTGAACTATTATCCTATCCCTATAAAAACTCCTACCCTTGCCCAAGAAAAACTGTTCTGGTACCTGGATTTAAACTGCATCAGTTCCATTGAGACCTCTTCATCTCCTGTCTGATCGTGCTGGGGGCTCTGCTCTGCTTGTCTCCTGCCTTCTGGACCCCCAGCTCCCATCACAATCTGGGAACCCCAATCAGTGCAAGCGCCATGGAGTGATGAGGTCTCTCTCTCTGTCTCTCTCCGCCCCCCTCCCCCACAACTACCTCTCTATAAGCATAGCCTCCTGACCCAGCCCTATGTAAACTGTTATATGGTTTGCTAGCCCTAACATTTGTAATCAGTTTCAATTTAGATTTAATATTGTACGCTACAAAGAAATAAATAACTTTCATTGTTAATCTGGTTGCTTCTCTCTCTTTTCCTTTCTCTCTCTGTCATTCTTCCTCAGAGGTGTGGTTTTGGATTCCCCATTCACTCTGCAACAATGCTTCTTGTACCCAAGCTAAAGATCCCTGTAGTGCTCAAAATTCGGTGGGGTTTGCTCATTGGTTTACCAGCGAATGATTGTGGTGTGAAAGTGGGGATAGGGAGGGAGGTGCTGAACCTGGGGGCATATGAGGATGGCAGCTTAAAGTGTTGTTTAATACAGCCCACTGAGTCCAAAGGCACATGAGGGTGCAGTGTGGTATTACTGTTAAACCCAGCCTGCTAAGTCCAGGGAAATATGAGGGGTCAGCTTGTGAGTGCTGATTAACCAGTCCTCTGAGACGTGCTCTGTTAGTGGGTGTTTCTAAGGTGGGAAGAACCCCATCCTGAGGAACCTAGGTCCTGCAGGAGAGCTCCATGGGAGACGGAATTGGCAGCAGGTAGAATTCAGCCCCATATGATAGTATAAGTTAACCTCCCCTCAACCCCATAAGAGTAATCCTAATAAATAAGCATACCCCAGAATATTGGGCAAATATGGTAACAATAGGATGAAGTTTAATATAGACAAATGCAAAGTATTCCACTTAGGTAGGAAAAATCCATTTCCCACATATAGAATGGGAAATGATTGTCCAGGAAGGAGTACTGCAGAAAAGGATCTAGGGGTCATAATGGACCTCAAACTAAATATGAGTCAACAATGTGACACTGTTGCAAAAAAAAAAAAAAAAAAAAAAAAAGCAAAAACAATTATGAACAAGACATGGTAAGTCATTCTTCTGCTTTTCTGTGCACTGATTAGGCATAAAATGTGGTCCCAGAGCCTGCTCTTCCGGCATCCCAACTGCCTGCCCCCAGAGAAGCTCAGAGCCCCTCTCTCACTTCAGATCCCTTAATCCAAGATCAGAGCCTGCACCCCAGCCCTCTGCCTGAGCCCCTCAGCCAAATGAAAATGAGCGAGGATGGTGAGAGAAGGACTGATGGAGCAAGCAGGGCTTTGGCGGGGGGGAGGAGGGGAAGGTATCGGGGTTTGGGAGAGATCCTGCCTGGATGACACTTAATTCAGACAGGGATCTCAATTAAAAAGCTCGGCGACCCCCGCGTGCCGATGTCTGCAGCGACCCACGTGGGGGAAGGTAGGGAAGAGCCGGAGCGAACACACGGACCAGACATGGCTCTGCGACTCGATCGCTCCAGTCTCCGTGCTCCTGCATCCCTGCTCTCCGCTCTCGACTGCTTTGGTCTCAGGGGGCCGGTAGCTGCCGGGGCGGGGGGCGGGCGGTAGGAAGTGGGAAGCGGCTTTCCGGGGAGGCGGTGGGGGA